ATATGTGCCTGGAACTCTCACCCCTCCCTGCCCACTTGGTATGTGTAGAAACCATAAGCAAACACTGCCTGCTCATTCCCACCCTGAGTCTCACGCTGACCTCAGACTCAAGGCCTGTTCACATCCCACAGATCGGTAAGTGGCCAAAGAGGTCAGAAGGCCCACTACTGTTCACCTTCCTGAGCCTCGGTTTCTTTATCTGGAAGTCAGAAGACCATGTCATGCTCCAACACTCACTGAAGATTCAGGGAGAAGACACATCTTTAACAGAACAGTAGCATAAAGCAGAGAGTAGGTTAGTAGAGAAGCACGTAGTAACAGAGGCACAGAGTAATAAAGAAGGATGGGGTGGTACCATGAAAGCGTATAGAAGTATAGTGGTAAAAAGCAAGCAGCAGGTCAGGCGCAGTCGCTCACACCTATAATCCCAGCAGTTTAGGAGGCCAAGGCGGGCCCATCACCTGAGGTCACGAGTTTGAGACCAGCCTGGCCAACATGGTGGAACCCCCGTCTATACTAAAAATACAAAAATTAGCCAGACATGGTGGCACACACCTGTAGTCCCAGCAACTTGGGAGGCTGAGGCAGGAGAATCGCTTGAACCCAGGAGTTGGAGGTTGCAGTGAGGCGAGATTGTGCCATTATACTCCAGCCTGGGTGACAGAGCGAGACTCCATCTCAAAAAAAAAAAGGCAGCAAGCATCGGTAGAGGGTAGAGGAGTACAGAAGGGCAGGGTGGTGTGCTATCAGAGAAGCTTGAAGAGGTAAGCTGCAGTGGCAGTAAGGCCATGCAGCAGCATACAGTGCCATAATAGGGCAGAGGTGCTCACACAGTAGGCACTAGCTTTTTTGGAGTGCCAAGCAGAGTGCTCCTCCCTTCAAAAGTGAACAGGGAATAATAGCTTGACTGAGCACCCAGTCTAAGAGGATATCCTCAGATCATCTGCACTACAAGCCCTCAGGGACACAATGCTCACCAGACAAAATCTTCTGTACTTACAGCACATCCAGTCCCCCAGCCGCCCAGCGTGTTGCCAACAACTTCTACCTATGACCTTTCCCGTAGAACAGCCCTTGGAAGCAGATCATCTGAGGTTAGGGGTTCTAGACCAGCCTGGCCAACATGGTAAAACCCCATCTCTACTAAAAATACAAAAATCAGCCAGGCATGACAGTGCATGCCTGTAAACCCAGGTACTCAGGAGGCTGAGGCAGAATTGCTTGAACCTGGGAGACGGCCTCCCCAAGTTCTGAGATTACAGGCGTAAGCCTCCATGCCCTTCCATAAACATTATTTTAATAATAACTATCATACATTATTGGAATAATAGAGATGTTACAGGGGAGTGGGAAAGAAAGCTCATCTCCTATAGGAGATCAACAGGTAAAATGGCACATCACTTACAGAGGTAGTGACAAAGAACTCAAAAAGATGAGTCTGTTTTGGTAGAGTGATTTAAGAAGTCAGGCTGGTCTTGGAACACCGGACCTCAAGTGATCCACTCACCTGGGCCTCCCAAAGTGATGGGATTACAGGCATGAGCCACCATGCCCTGGAGTCAAGGCTGGGTGTTAGAGAACAAGAGCACAAGATCACAGCACCCACCATGGAAATCTCCTCTCTCAGAAACACAGACATGATTTCCTGGGAACCTGCCCTAAGCCCCAAGAAGACAGCTCACCTCCCTGGCAACATCTTGGCAATCTCTGCCCAGCGGTTGCCCAGCACCTTGTGGGCCTCGCAGATGATGCGGTCCTCCTCCTCAGTCCAGCAAGACTTCTTCACCTCAGGGTTGAGGTGGTTGTGCCAACGTTCACGGCACTGCTTCCCCAGCCGGCCCTTCAGGTGCTTGGCAATCAGCGTCCACTGCTTTGTGCCATACTTCTTAACCAGCTCGATGACCTTGGAGAAAAGCCTCTGGGTAGCCAGTGGCACCGGCCCCTCCCTCATCCCCACCATAGCCCTTCACATCCACTTGAGCCTTGCTGTGGCCCTCAGAGGTGCCACCTACCACACCCCTTCAGGCAACACAGAAGGCACTGAGTGGGTTGCAGGGATGCCACCCAGGATGCCTTTGTGTAACCCACAGAGGCTACCTAAGGATCTGACCTTCCCTCTCATTTACTGCCTGGAATAAATCCAGGCCAAGAATGCCAGAGACTCTTCCTAGATTGGTGATTAAGTGGGGTAGGGTAAAGAAGGGAACCAGAGTCCTGCTTCCCTCTTCAGGGCTCAATCCAATAAATTAAGTAGAAAAGAGCAGAGGAGACTGGGTGCGGTGGCTCACGCCTGTAATCCCGGCACTTTGGGAGGCCAAGGCAGGCAGATCACAAGGTCAAGAGATGGAGATGAGCCTAGCCAACATGGTGAAACCTCGTCTCTACTAAAAATACAAAAACTAGCCAGGTATGGTAGTGGCAGGCACCTGTAGTTCCAGCTACTCAGGAGACTGAGGCAGGAGAATCGCTTGAACCCAGGAGGCAAAGGTTGCAGTGAGCTGATTGTGCCACTGCACTCCAGCCTGGGGACAGAGCGAGACTCCATCTCAAAAAAAAACAAAAAGGCAGAGGGATAAGGAGGACCAACCCACAGCGGAGTCCAAACTAAAGGTGGGAAATACTTTCCCACCACAGCCACAAGACCCTCCAGTACTTCCATGGAAACTGGGAGGGTACAGGCTAAGCCGTGGTATCAGGCATTGCAGGCTGACCTACTGGACCTGAGTCACCACCTGCCCTCTGAGGCAGGCTTCCTAGCTCAGGACACAAAGCACAACATAGGCAGCCACAAGAGCCAGGCCAGACCCGGCCTATACAACAGACACACATGTTCCCGTGTGCACACAGGCCACAGCAAAATGAAGAGTGGACGCCTCTTTGACAAAGATTTGGGTGAAGAAATATTTTGACTTCCTTTCTGTATGGTTTAAATTTTTATAGCAACCACATATCACTTTCATTTTTCTTTTAAGGGATTTTATGTTTTTATTTTTTTGAGACAGGGTCTCACTCTGTAGCCCAGGCTGGGGTGCAGTGGGACAATCTCAGCTCACTGCGACCTCTGCCTCCCAGATTCAAGCAATTCTCCCGCCTCAGCCTCCCAAGTAAACTGGGATTACAGGCACACCACCACACCTAGCTAATTTTTGTATTTTTTGATAGAGATGGACAGGGTTTCACCATGTTGACCAGGCTGTTCTCAAACCCCAAACCCCAGATTATCTGCCCACCTTGGCCTCCCAAAGTGCTGATATTACAGGTGTGAGCCACCACACCCAACCAAAAAAAGGGTTTTCAAACTAAATTTTATTCTTTTTTTTTTTTTAAATTTACATTTGCTTCTCTATTATGTTTGTCTGCAATGGCATGTTCTAAAAAATATTCATTTTGAGAAATTACGGAAAATCTCCAGAATTAAGAAACAAGGTCTCGGCTGGGCTTGGTAGCTCATACCTGTAATCCCAGCACTTTGGGAGGCAAAGGTGGGGGCAGATCACCTGAGGTCAAGAGTTCCAGACCAGCCTGGACATGGTAAAACCCCATCTCCACTAAAAATTCAAATTACAGGAGTCATGGTGGGAGCCTGTAATTCCAGTTACGTAGGAGGCTCAGGCAGAATCACTTGAACCAAGGAGGCAGAGGTTGCAGTGAGCTCAGTTACTGCCATTGCACTCCAGCCTGGGCATCAGACTGGACACAGTGGGTTACACCTGTAATCCCAGCACTTTGGGAGACCGAGGCAGATGGATCATGAGGTTAGGAGATCGAGACTATCCTGGCCAACATAGTGAAACCCCATCTCTACTAAAAGCTACATAAAAATTAGACGGGCATGGTGATGTACACATGTAGTCCCAGCTACTCAAGAGGCTAAGACAGGGAATCACTTAAACCAAGGAGATAGAGGTTACTGTGAGCTGAGATGACACTACTGCACTATAGCCTGGCAACAGAGCAAGAATCATCTCAGGGAAAAAAAAAAAAAAAGAGACAAGGTCTCAAGCTGGGCATGGCAGCTCATGCCTGTAATCCCAGCACTTTGGGAGGTCAAGGTGGGTGGATCATCTGAGGTCAGGAGTTCAAGACCAGCCTGACCAAAATGGCAAAACCTTGTCTACTAAAAATACAAAAATCAGCCAGGCGTGGTGGTGTGCACCTGTAATCTCAGCTGCTCAGGAGGCTGAGGCAGGAGAATCGCTTGTACCCAGCAGGCAGAGGTTTCAGTGAGCTGAGATAGGGCCATTGCACTCCAGCCTGGGCAACAAGAGTGAAACTCCATCTCAAAAAAAAAAAAAAAAAAAAAAAAAAAAAAACTAAACTAAATTTTATTTTATTTTATTAAGAGACAGGGTCTTATTCTGTCACCCAGGCTGGAATGCCGTGGTGTGACCATGGCTCACTGCAGCCTTGAACACCTGGGTTCAAATGATCCTCCCAACTCAGCCTTCAGAGTACAGGCACCCCACCACCACATTGAGTTAATTTAACGGCGGGGTGCTGGCCACGGCTCATGACTGTAATCCCAGAACTTTGGGAGGCCAAGACAAGAGGATACCATTAACCCTGCAGTTCAAGACCAGCCTGGGAAACATAGGGAGACCCCATCTCTACAAATAAAAAAAAAAAGACCAGGAATCATGGCTCATACCTATAATCCCAGCACTTTGGGAGGCTGATGTGGGAGAATCACCTGAGCCCAGAAGTTCAATCAGTCTGGGCAGCATAGCGAGATGCTGTCTCTACAAAAAATTTTTAAAAAGATTAACCAGGCACGGTGGCACATGTAGTACGAGCTACTTTGGAAGCTGAGGTGGGAGGAATGCTTGGGGGTTGGAGGAATGTTTGGGCCTGGGAGGTCGAGGCTCCAATAAGCCGTGATTGTGCCACTGTACTCCAGCCCGGGTGACAGCGCAAACTCCCACCTCAAAAAATCAATCAAATAAAAAATTAGCCAATGCTCTCCAGCTGGTGCAACAAAGTAAGACCCATCTCAAAAGAAATTAATTTAAAAATGCCTAGTTCCTTAGCTGGGCATGGTGGTGCGTGCCTGTAATCCCAGCTACTCAGGAGGCTGAGGCAGGAGAATTGCCTGAACCCAGGAGGCGGAGGTTGCAGTGAGCCGAGATCGCGCCATTGCACCCCAGCCGGGGTAACAAGAGTAAAACTTCGTCTCAAAAAAAAAAGAAGAGAGAATCACTTGAACCTGGGAGGCGGAGGTTGCAGTGAGCTGAGATCAAGACATGCACTCCAGCCTGGGCGAGAGAGTGAGGTTCCATCTCAATAAATAAATAAATATGAATGAATGAATGTTGCAAATGTAGTGTCAATCATGCTGGCTTACACCTCTAATCCCAGAACTTTGGGAGGCCAAGACAGATGGATCTCTTCAGGCTAGGAGTTTGAAACCCGCCTGGCCAACATGGTGAAACCCCATCTCCACTAAAAATACAAAAATTAGCCAGGCATGGTGGTGCACACCTGTATCTCAGCTACTCAGGTGGCTGAGGCATCAGAATCACTTGAACCCAGGAGGTGGAAGTTGCAGTGAGCCGAGATCACACCCCTGCACTCCAGCTTCGTCAGCAGAGCAAGACTCTGTCTCAAAACAAAACAAAACAAAACAAAACAAAAGCGTGCAAATGTAATACTGTATTATTTGTTAATTTCTAGAAAAGTCAAAATTATAGAGACAGAAAACAGATTAGAGTGCAAGGAGCTAAGGGCAGAAAAAAGACTAAGAAAAGGAGCACAAGGGAATTCTGGGGTGATGGCACTGTGGTATGCCTTGACTGTGGCAGTGGTTACACGACTGTATGCTTTGTCATAACTCAAAACTGTACACTAGAGCATATAAATTACAACTCAATACATTTTTATATTTCTTTAAATTAAAAAGATAGAGACGGGGTTTCACCATGTTGCCTGCACTGGTCTCCAACTCCAGGGATCAAGCAATCCACCTCAGCCTCAGCCTCCCAAAGTGCTGGGATTACAGGTCACATCTGATTTTATTTTTAATTGCAAACATGCTTTCAGTTTTGAAAAATGAGAATGAGCAACAGGTAAGAAGGAGGCCACCAACGAGGACAGATGGAGGCTGAGGATCTCCTTAACTAATTCAGAGTTTTATATAATCAGCTTTCTCTGCTATCCTTCATCTGCAGGCAGACAAGTGCCAGTTACGTGCAAAGGTGTCACAAGGCCCCTGAAGCACATGGCCCACTTTCAGACTCTGTGGCAGAAACGGATGAATAGCTGTAGACAAGGTATTCAATGACACGGTGTCAGATGAATGTGAAATCAAACCAAGTTGGAGGCTGAGCAGCTGTCTCACCTGCCCTTCCGCAGGCTGGGCACTCTGGAGGCCGTCCTTATCCTCAAGCTCCAGCAGCAAATACACCGGGGGCTTGCAGTCTTTGGACTCGCTCAGGAAGCCTCCCGTGTCCACCTTCCTTTTGATGGTAGAGTTCCAGTGATTCTTCACAGCATTGTCTGTCCTGCAGGGGGCAGCAGGGGGCCTCTGAACCCCAGTTCTGTGGGTGGGGTGCCACCAGACACATCACTAACCTCCCAAAGCCACACTCCTGCTCCTGTAAGTGAATCTTCCACTGGATGAACTCTAAGGTCTCTTTCAGCTCCAAGATGAAGTCTTATGAGTCTCTAGCCCTAATGATTTACAGAGCGTTTCCATGAAGCTCTGTAAAATAAGCAACTGAATCACTCAGGCTATGACAAAAATTACAAAACGACACCAGCTACTGTCAGGTTCAGGTAAAATAAATAAATAAATAAATAAAATTGTAAAATCAGGACAGTGGCTAATGCCTGTAATCCCAGCACTTTGGGAGGTGCTGGGCGTGGTGACGTGCACCTGTAGTCCCAGCCAATTGGGAGGCTGAGGCATGAGAATCGATGAAACCCAGGAGGTGGAGGTTGCAGTGAGCCGAAATCATGCCACTGCACTCCAGCCTGGGCAACAGAGTGAGACTCCATCTCAAAAAAAAAAACGAATAAAAGTAAGAATTGGAGCCAGGCGCGGTGGCTCACCCCTGTAATCCTAGCACTTTGGGAGGCCAAGGTGGGTGGNTAATCCCAGCTACTCAGGAGGCTGAGGCAGGAGAATTGCCTGAACCCAGGAGGCGGAGGTTGCGGTGAGCCGAGATCGTGCCATTGCACTCCAGCCTGGGTAAAATGAGTGAAACTCCGTCTCAAAAAAAAAACAAAAAAGAATGCCTAGTTCCCTTGTCTCGCTCGTTCCCTTGAGCCATGCCTGCCTTGGCGGAATGACATCCTCTGGGCTGACATCAGGGAGAAGAGATGCAGAACTCCCAAGGCAGCCCAGGGCAGTCATGGTACTACTACTGCTTCTTCTAGCCTGGGGACATCCCCAGCCTCTCTGAGTCTTACTCTCCCCATCAATAAAATGAGACCAACAACTTCTGCCCACCTCACAGGAGTGCCATGGGGATCAAAAGAAGGCACATGTGATGCTCTGTGCCCTGTGAAGAAGGTCACAGAGTGCAGTCATCATTAAATTAGGGATAGCAGCAGCTGCCATTTCCTGAGAGCTCACCATGTACAGGACTGGCAAGCCCCATACAAGCATCACCTGCTTAACTCTCATGACAACGCTGCACTGCAGCTGTTCCCCTCCATGGCTGGAGCAAGAGAAGCCAAGTCATCTGAGACACTCAGAGACTTGGAATCTCAGGGCTAGAGCCAGGGCAGCATGGGAGTGTCCGGACTTGCTGGTAGACAACTCAGTGCTTAGCATGACAACCCCACAGGGGCAATCTCACAGTCCCCAGATTCACTGATGGGTGAAGGCCCACTGTGTGCAAGGCACTGTCACAGCAGTTACCTTTTGGTCTTCCTCTTTGGTCCATGGCCCCTTGACAAGGTCTGGATTCAGAACTCTCAGCCACCTGTACTGGCATTGCTGGTCAGTGCGGTTCTGGGAAAAGAACAGAAGAACAAACCAATCCATGAGAACTTCTGGGACCTCAGGCTGGGACCCTTGTTAAGTGCTAGGCTCAGGGCCAATGGCCTGGGACTAGGCACACCTTAGGTAGGTGTGTCTGTTCCATGTGGCCACCACACACTATAACCCCACATCCCAGAACGCAGACGGTTTCCCTTTGCTACAAGAGAGGGCAAAATCGGGCCCCTGTGGGAAGCCACCCCTCCACCACCTGAACACAAGAGGCCACCATCACAAGTCTTTAACTCCTTGTATGTCAGGGACCCCTGTTTTTTTCTAGGAGAACATTTTTATTCCCTCAAGAGTTCAGATTACACAGAAGAGGGGGAGATGAGGAAATGGACCAGGATGGGGTCTGGTGACTCAGTCCCTGAGCAGCCCAGGCGGTAAGCCACAGGGCAGCTCCTTCCATAACCCCTCCCTCCCAGACACCTGGTCAGGGGCAGGAGGACCTGAGAAAGGGGTCCTAAGGGAGGGCCCCCTCATCATCAGGAAACTCTAAATGCTCAGATGTGGTAGCACCTCCCAGCCCTGCAGGGGCCTCACCATGAAACCTGCTGAAAACATCACTTCCCCTCAGTTTCCGTCTCACTGCTGAGAAACCGAACACCTGTTCACTCCTCACTTACAGGAAGAAATGCAGATATGCACCACATGCTGCAAATGCCTCAGAGTCTGAAGACTACCAGGCATGCTAAGGAGCCGGGAGATGTTTACATCAGGGTGCCTTGAATGCCAGTTTGCAAAGAAAGATCCTACAAAGGTCAATTTGCCCTGTTTTATTTGGTTGTGTTTTGAGAGGCTTAGCAAGGAATTCCCTTTTCTCCTCCTTGGGAGAAAGTGTGTCCCAGGCACACTGTTCTCCTAGAGCCCTTGCCCCAAGGGAGGGCCACAGAGGGACTGTACTCACAGGGAAGTGGCTGGCCAGGAACTTCCAGTCCTGCTGTCCAAACTGCCTCACCAGGGCCCTCAGCTGCTCGTCCTGCCAACACCAGAAAGACAGGGGCTCAGCACACATAAGTGCAGAAAACCTCAGGGCTGTCCATGATGGAGCCCAGTCTAAAGGGAACAGCCTCGTTCATTCATTCATCATGAAGTGAATACCTACTAGGCGACTCCGTCTCAAAAAATTCTTCCTGAAATGGAACTGCCAATTCACACAATAACACGAATCTCAGTCACTATGATGTATCAAAGAAGTCAGACATAAAAGGGTACACACCATATGATTCCATCCATATGAAATTGTATAAAATGTCAACTAAGCGGCCGGGCGCGGTGGCTCAAGCCTGTAATCCCAGCACTGTGGGAGGCCGAGGCGGGTGGATCACGAGGTCAAGAGATCGAGACCATCCTGGTCAACATGGTGAAAC